CCGCCGCCCTCCCTCACCTTCCCTGGAATTGCTTCCTCTGATGTCACTGCACACTGGGAGCTTCTCACAGCTACGTGATTGGCGTGTTGGCGAGGAAGGGGGGAGGAACCAGGGAAGGTAAAATATAACCACATTTAACTTCAAAGCTTTGATTATCCATCTGACATTGTACTTACTGGCAAGTGTGCGTCACTCCTCATCAAGTATTGGGCCTTCCCCAGGATGCTTTGCTGAAGCTGATCCCAACTTGCTGTCCTATCTTCCCACAAGAGCAGCGGAGGACCAAACCTGGGAGAAATTAGAGATGTGTTGAGTTGACGAGTCCGCTGTGACTATTATGGAGGACAACGCCACCTTGTGGAGGACAGCTCCACCTTATGGAAGACAGACAGCTCCACCTTATGGAAGACAGCTCCACCTTATGGAAGACAGACAGCTCCACCTTATGGAAGACAGCTCCACCTTATGGAAGACAGCTCCACCTTATGGAAGACAGCTCCACCTTATGGAAGACAGCTCCACCTTATGGAGGACAGCTCCACCTTATGGAAGACAGCTCCACCTTATGGAGGACAGCTCCACCTTATGGAGGACAGCTCCACCTTCTGGAAGACAGCTCCACCTTATGGAAGACAGCTCCACCTTATGGAAGACAGCTCCACCTTATGGAGGACAGCTCCACCTTATGGAGGACAGCTCCACCTTATGGAGGACAATGTTTAGCCTGAAGGGATGGTGCGTTACCGAGGCCAAGGTTACCTAAGGGCCTGCTGACCAGAGCCATCCAGGTTGCACAGGAGCAGAAGAAGTTTCGAGCTGGAGGCCAGGAACTCCGAGGAGACGGATCCTCCTCCCGGTAACCTTGTAGAGTTTGTGTCAAAGCTGCGGGGAGAAGATGGAAGGCTGTGCGGATACCCTGCAAGAGGGGGGGGGGGAACAAAAAAAAGAGTCAAATTGTATGTAAAGGCAAAACATTGTGTTTTAGTTTTGGGTTGGACCCTCTCTCAATTTATTATTGCCCCCTATTTGCCAGCTGGGAAGATCCATGCTCCCTATTAGTCTGGTGACCAAATGAGGGGACATCCAAGAGGTCCACAGAGCAGAACTTGTATGGGACAACTGTCTAAGAAGGGAATTTCTCTTATTTCCTCTTGTGTCTCCTGGACAGGAAGTGAAGGGAAATCTGGGCAGGAGGCATTTTAACCCTTTCCAAGGCTATCCAAATCTAGGGCTCTACATTTCAATGCCGAAATCTGATCAAAACTGTCCAAGACAGAGAGGATCTGGTAGGTGTGTGGTAGTGCTGGTCTGATAAGCATCTGAATTAAGGTTCTATAGAGACAATTCTCTTTTTAGGGAGGCTGACCTATAGTGGGTGAGTAGAGACCTGGGTATGGCCCTAGGCTGCTGCCTCTCTGAGGTAGTGGGTGTGGGTTTAGAAGCACCTTAAAAAAAATTGGTCACCTACATTGGTGATTGGTATAAAATCTTTATTGATTAAAAGGAGAACTATGAGGGGCGTGCTTTTTACTCGCCTCATAGTTCTAGCCGACCTGTGACAATGAGACTGTCACAGGTCGGCTCAGTAGATCGGGAGGTGAGCGAACACATACCGGGGGAGGGGCTGGATTCCCCTCTCCCATCTGCCAGCGCTGACTGGCGGAACGGACGGGGGAGGGGGCGGGTACAGCTGGCTCTGCCCCCAGATAGGCAGAGCCAGCTGTCACTCACGCAGCTGGGCGGATCTCGACGTCCATGTCGGGATCCGCTCCGGCTGAGGCGTCTCAGTATACCGCGAGCTGTCCCAAGATGCCAGGCAGACAGGAGCAACCAAAATTAAGATAGGGGCTACTAGAGTGTTCGGGTTTCGCTTGAAGAAAAGGTGGCAACCCTAAATACAACCTGCGCTGAGATGACACCATGTCCCTGTGGCTATGCTCTGGCATTGTCTAGGAAGGGGACAGCAGGAGAACCTGTAATGGGAAAGTATGGAGGCTGCTATTGTCGGCTTTCAATGATCATGCTGACTGCCTGGCTGCCTCTGAGTTGCTGTATACAGACAAGGAGCTCTGCCTTGCTCCTGATATTTCTGATCAGCATGCAAGGCCGGGTCTGTGACTCAGAATGTAAGGAAGCCATTGGATCAGCATGGCAGCCAGACCGCTAGGAGTTCATCAATGGCAACCTTGGTCTTCTCCTCATTACAGGTGACCTTGAGTCTCCAGGTTCATGAGCCGGGCCAAGCGGCCATCTTTGAAGCGGGATGTTTAGGGAACTGGAGACCCACCTGATGTCCTACAGGAACCGGGGGCTTTGGGTAACGGAAGGGGAACTTGGAAGACGTAGACCGGGTCGCCCTCCGCTATGGTGTTCATGTCTTCATCGTCCGAGAAGGACCTTTGGAACCCGCTGGAGTTCAACTCGGCCAGGATGACCTTAAAGGGGAACAACAGTTGGATCAATCCATATACAAGGCAAGAGTCTACATGTTATACAATAGCGGAACATTGAGAAAGTGCTGAGACACAGACACATATCCTTTATTCAGCCCCTTATGTTTCAGCTTCTCCATGAATCCTTTCATTCTTGAAATCAGGCTTACAGTGGGAGTGGTAAACCAAGCAGAGGTACAAAAAAGTGGGCGGGGCGTCACCAATAAGGTGATGGGACAATGGTGTCATCGTCCTCCTCGTTCTGTGCGGCATGAGTCACGGGATCCCAGGACAATGTTACATTGTTACGCCAGAAAAGCATACAACCGATGTCAGGGGGCGGGGTCTCAGGCTTACCTGGTCGGAAGGTATTTTGCCCTCGTCGGCCACCATCTGCCGCAGCGCCGCCACAGTGCCGAATAACGGAACGGCCAGGCCGATGCGCAGGAAGCGCTGCTGCTTAGAATGGAATGCTAACGTGACGTTTAAGGCCCTGCGAACAAAGCAAAGCATCATGGGAAGGGTTCATCCGCGGCGATCAGAGCTGTGCGAGGAAAGCCAAAAACATTCACAGTGACAACAACGAAAATGTACTTTATAGATCTGCTGCTGCGGACTTACAGAGGAGGCGCCCGGGATGTTCCCCAGATCCAAACCTTTCCTTCAGCCGCCATGCTTAAAGTGGAGCCATCATCTGATGTATCATCCATCATCAATAATATGAGTGTTACACCTTCAGGTATTCATTACCTCTCACAGAGATTTCACAGTACTCCCCCCTGACACAGTACTCCCCCCTGACACAGTACTCCCCCCTGACACAGAACTCCCCCCTGACACAGAACTCCCCCCTGACACAGTACTCCCCCCTGACACAGAACTCCCCCCACCTTCATCCACTTTTCTTTCCTCAAGGACGGCACCATCTTTATTTGGCATCATTCAGGGTCACCATTTACTTTCTGGACTCAAATGTCAGCTCAGAGATGTCTGACACAGATCAGCCCCAGCTGCAGACTCTCAACCTCTGACTTGCTACAAGGATAATATGTTGGGGGGAGGGGGAGACTGAGGAAATGCTTCCTCCTGCCTGCAGCAGACTGATCACTGGGGGAGGTGAGACTGAGGAAATGCTTCCTCCTGCCTGCAGCAGACTGATCACTGGGGGAGGTGAGACTGAGGAAATGCTTCCTCCTGCCTGCAGCAGACTGATCACTGGGGGAGGTGAGACTGAGGAAATGCTTCCTCCTGCCTGCAGCAGCCTGATGACATCATCTCAGCCTAGGCAGTGTCACTGAACTGGAGCTTTTTAATGATAAAAGGCTTTCCTGGAAAATGATGCTGTTGCTGTATATTGGAATTCATTCCTGGGGACTTGCTGACAGGTCCACTTTATAGCGCACATGCCCCTGGGTATGAGTGTGTGAGCAGACACCTCGGAGCGGCGGTTCTGTGCGGCGGTGCGTAGTACACGGCGCATAGTAAACAGTAATCCATATTTCATAAACAGCAATTACAGCGGCGTAATGACTGCGAGAGGCATAATAACACCGCGAGGCGGCTGGCGGGGCTTTTCCTGCGCGGACTCCGCCATTAACCCCTTCCCGGCTCCGGAGTGGGAGTCAGATCAGCGTCACGGATATGATCAGCACTCGGCAGCCATAATTATGGCCTCTCTCTCTCTCTCTCTCTCTCCTCCTTACATATCATTTTCCTTGTTTTGTTGTAATGATTAAGGACGCCCACCCGCTTGCGGCGGATTCTGGGCGCGCACTCGCGGAAGTTTCCGGCTCGGGGGTTTACGCTTCCATCTAATGAGCTCCGATTAGGAAAAACGCGATTTTCATGGTTTTCACTGAAATAATATATTTGCTGCCGTGAAGTTTTCACCTCTGCATAGTCATTATTGTACTGAAAGGGTCCGGTGCGGATTATTTTTAAGACCCGAATCGATATTCAATGAGCTAAATGCATCCCAGGGGCATCAAAACAAAAGGCGCGTAAAGCTTTTTTCGTTACCAAGCAGCCACAGCCTGAGTAGAAAAGCCTGTCCCCCCGCCAGCGTGCTGCAGAGGAGGACCCTTGCACCATAGGTGTGAGTTGTGGTTTCTCTGCAGAGGTCCAATGCAGGAGGCGGAGCTATAGCTCCCCAATCAGAAAACCACACAAACTCCCATAGCGCTTACTCAGCAAGGGGTGTGTCACATCTCTACAGAGAGACCGCTGCTTCCACACAGAGAGCAAGGGTCCTCCTCTGCAGCTGTTGGCAGGGGACAGGCTTTTCTACTCAGGCTGTGGCTGCTTTATAAAGAAAAACATACTGAGGGGAATTTATCAAAAGTGGAGCAGACTGAAAACTGGAGCAGTTCCCCATGGCAACCAATCAGCTTCTCTCTTTCATTTGTTCAGTTAGGATTGGAAAAAGAAAGGAGAGAGAAGCTGATTGGTTGCCATGCACAGCTGCTCCAGTTTTTCTCTGCTCCACTTTTGATAAATTCCCCTCACTGTAACGCTGGAGCACCTTCGGTTTGATGCACACAGAGAGGAGAATTTATCAAAACTGGAGCAGTTGCCCGTGGCAACCAAACAGCATCTTTCTTCAGTTTGCTCAGGGAAGATTTGAAAATGTGACAGAGAAGCTGATTGGCTGCAGTGCAAATCTGCTGCAGCCTTGATAAATTCCCCTCAGAAATGTATTTAGATTATTTAAAGTGAAAGTCCAACTGGGCTTTACTCAGGCGGAGGGACAGGAAACATGAGGGGTTGTTGTCACCCCCATTGCAGCACCACTTTAAGGCCCCGTTCACACTGATCGATTTATCGCGCAGTAATTCCCGCGATATCGCGGCTATTTACCGCGCGATATCGCTCTCCAATACTTGGCAATGGGGCAAAGGGTCCTGCTGTCGCGGGTCATGCGTCGCTACAGCAGGACCCTTTTTGGAGCGGATTTTGCCGCGATTCTAGCTTGCTCAATGCAAGCATTTGCGCGATATCGCGCAAAATGCAAATTGCGCGACAAACGCGCGATTTGCGAATCGCGCAGTGTGAATGGGGCCTTAGGGTTGTTCTGTTATCTGCTAGCATGGGCAGGCAAAAGGGCCTGTTGGTCATTCCGAGTTGAGCGCAATGCTTTGGTGTGCAAGACCAGACAGTGGCCACCTAGTAATGACAGCGTGCCACAGGTCAGCCAACACAGATTATTCCCAGAGGACACTGGGCATCATATAACGGCTGAGCTGCAGCATACAGATACACAGTTCCACAATTAGGGTAAAAAAGACATTCTGGGCGAGCGCCTGTGCATGCATAGAGTTTGGTGCCTAGAATTGTGCGCTCGTCTGTGCACACATTCCATGGCGTGCACGCGCTCATTTCGAATGATGGTGTCAAAGGGGTTATATATGGCTGAGACACCCTAGCCTCCATGCTGGCTGATCTTCAGCTGTACCCTGCTATTGTGTTCCTGAACCTGATCACCTGTTGCTGACCCGGCTTCCCCCGACCTCCTGCTCCTGCTCTGCATCCCTCCACCTTGGCTTGTTCTTGAACTACTCGTTTGCCTGCTGCCTGGTACCACTCTACCCGCAAGATACAGTATCGACCCGGCCTGTTTCTGACCACGTCTTGTCTGCTGTTTTGGTACTGACTGTTGCTGACCCGGCTTGTCTTGACCCCTGCTACTTAGGATCTGCATTCTGCACCTGCTTCCTGCAAGGAGACCCCCATCTTCAGTACCTACATCACCTTCCGGAACCCGTGCCACTCCTTGTCCTTACGCACCTGTCCCACTCTCCAGGGGGTGTTACGACAGAAGCTCATCATCTGGGGCTCCCCCCCCCCCCCCCCAAAAGAGAGGGTAAAATTATAAGGGGCGCAACAAAAGGTATGCGATAGTTACTAGGGGGCACAAGAGGTGGCTTATTGACCTACTAAGCTGAGACTCCCTTAACATTGATAGATCCCCAAAAACTGCTGCAGAAAACAACCCGGGAGAAAGGTGTAGTGATCCTTTAAGGGGTTAAATCTGACGCCAGGTGAGCGATAAGACTTTACTGTACAGTGTCAGGAGAGCGAAGATCAAACTCCTCCGTTTGTAGGACTTCAGCTCTTCTTTATCACTAGGATACCCTTCAGGCTAGGTTCACACCTGCACTACACCCGGGCCGCGCGGGCACACAGCGTATGCCGCACAGCCACATTGATTTCAATGGGGTGACATCCCCGCGGCAATCGCTAACAAAAAGTACAAGTACCTTTACTTGTGACACACAACTCGCGGCTTTTTTAGTCACTTGCACGGGCAGAATTGCGGCGGGGAACCGCGCGATCCACCCAGCGTGACTGCTGACCGCGCGGTAATCGTGCACAAAACCGCGTGGATTGCCGTGCGGTCAGGAGTCGCCGAGGTGTGAACCTAGCCTGAAGCTCCTTTCTGGTTTTTATTCTAGAAATCCCACTGGAAGAAGCAAAGCATTCTGGGAGGCAACCGAACAGCGGCCATTTTCTCTAGAACAGCAGACAATGAAGGAGGCGGTTACCTGGTCTGTCGCAGTGGGATGGGGAGGGAGACGCAGAGGAAGGGGTCATACGTGTCACTCTGCTTGTGGCAGTGCGGACAAGTGAGCGAAGATCTGCAACCAAACAACAAAAAGAGTCAAACATAAAATGAACATGCTGCATGGCATTCGATCCCATCGTAACTCAAACATTGACTGCCTTTTATACAAACTAATGAGATACAAAGGTCTTCCACAGACTATATTGCCTGCTGCAACCTCCCTCTTTCTCTCCTGTGTAACAAGGTGTTGCAGCTGGTGGTGGCAATCTATAGACAGTGGATTTTATGCCTATTTTGCGTACACAATCGTTTTAATACCGAATGCCGTCATGGTAAAAATATAAACACAGAAAACAAACAGCCAACTCTATACTTAGAGGAGCCGGAGACAGACAAGGTGTCTGGTGATAGTAATTATAGTGGTGTCCTCTGGTCCCCCGCCAGGACCGGTTCAGATCTCAGTCACCGTTTTGCCCCGGTCCCTGCTCCTGTCTGACAGTGAACATCACCCGTCTCCATCTGTTATATATCACTCGATAGATGGATACACAGAACATGGAGATTGGAAAAAGGAGAGGTGGAGCTCTACCGAGACAGCATGGAACAGATAGAAGATCACCGGGGTACTGCGTGCTTTTTTTTTTTTTAAGGAGATACAAGTCTCATAAAAGTATAAAAAGTGGCCAATAGTAAGTAACACAGAGTGCAGGGGTCAGGAGTAAGTAACACAGAGTGCAGGGGTCAGGAGTATGTAACGGAGAGTGCAGGGGTCAGGAGTATGTAACGGAGAGTGCAGGGGTCAGGAGTAAGTAACACAGAGTGCAGGGGTCAGGAGTATGTAATGGAGAGTGAAGGGGTCAGGAGTATGTAACGGAGAGTGAAGGGGTCAGGAGTATGTAACGCAGAGTATAGGGGTCAGGAGTAAGTAACACAGAGTGCAGGGGTCAGGAGTATGTAACGGAGAGTGCAGGGGTCAGGAGTATGTAACGGAGAGTGCAGGGGTCAGGAGTAAGTAACACAGAGTGCAGGGGTCAGGAGTATGTAATGGAGAGTGAAGGGGTCAGGAGTATGTAACGGAGAGTGAAGGGGTCAGGAGTAAGTAATGCAGAGAGCAGGGATTAGGAGTATGTAATACAGAGAGCAGGGATTAGGAGTATGTAACGGAGAGTGAAGGGGTCAGGAGTATGTAACGCAGAGTATAGGGGTCAGGAGTAAGTAACACAGAGTGCAGGGGTCATGAGTATGTAACAGAGAGTGAAGGGGTCAGGAGTAAGTAACACAGAGTGCAGGGGTCAGGAGTATGTAACACAGAGTGCAGGGGTCAGGAGTATGTAACACAGAGTGCAGGGGTCAGGAGTATGTAACACAGAGTGCAGGGGTCAGGAGTAAGTCATGCAGAGAGCAGGGATTAGGAGTATGTAATGCAGAGAGCAGGGATTAGGAGTATGTAACGGAGAGTGAAGGGGTCAGGAGTATGTAACGCAGAGTATAGGGGTCAGGAGTAAGTAACAGAGAGTGAAGGGGTCAGGAGTAAGTAACACAGAGGGCAGGGGTCAGGAGTATGTAACAGAGTGCAGGGGTCAGGAGTATGTAACACAGAGTGCAGGGGTCAGGAGTATGTAACACAGAGTGCAGGGGTCAGGAGTAAGTCATGCAGAGAGCAGGATTATGTAACACATTTTTCAGGGGTCAAGAGTATGTAATGCACACTGCAGGGGTCAGGATTAAGTAACACATAATGCTGCGGCCAAGAGTAAGCAACACAAAGTGCAATGGTCAGGAGTAAGTAATGCTCAGTGCAGGGGTCAGGAGTAATGCTCAGTGCAGAGGTCAGGAGTAATGCTTATGTTACTGCACAAGGGATTTTGACCTGGTAACTTACCACATGGCTGATGGGGTCAGACTCATTATGCAAGTATATTCATAATAATTTAAAGAAAAATGTGTACAGATTTGCGCAACAAAACATCGCAAAATAAATAATTATGTACAAGGAGCTTCACTAAATATCAACTCCTGGAAGAGCCCATCATACTCTGATCTGACAACTGGGCCCTTCTATTCCCTTGTTTAACTGAATGCAGTCGCTCCTGTTCCAACAAGCGTCCACTAATGTGCCGCCAACTGCCAAACTGCAGCAGCTGGAGGATGTACAGAAACTTAATGTGCATTTAAAAGGTCGGGTGATCAATAACTTGTATTTTAGCTCCGAGGGATCTGAATGTCTTTTCTGGGTAGCACCAATGCCAACTAGACTTCCTGAATCTAGCTCATCCACCCCGCCCAGCAGAGTCTCTCTCCTCCTGCTGCATGCCTCATAATGTATACTAAATGTAACAATCCCATGAAAAGGAAACGGGTGACTGAAAGCGACAGCTTGAAACTGAAAATATGAATTTTGGAATGGAAGGTTCTTTTAAAATTGTAGTTGTCCAATTAGCAAAACACGTGCCCTCCATGGTGGCCTCATCTGAGAGGGGAGATGTGACCCCTTCGCGCCGCGCTCCTGAGGGCGCTCCAATTAGTCCGTACCTGTACTGAGCTTGAAAGTGTTCTTGTACAAAGCTGTGTCCTCCGTCTGTCTGTGAGGAGGGCGATGAACTGAGGCTGCTCTGCTCAGAGACCGGAGGCTGCAGGAGAAAAGAAGAAGATGAATTAGCTCATGAGAAAGACGAGCGACGAATGACCCCAAATATCTGGGCTGAACATACATCCCCCACCCCCCACCCCGTCCCAGAGCTGGGGACATGGCTCTATACAACACCCC